GGGGCCTCTCCAGGCTTTGTCAAGCATTACAAATACAGTAGAACCTTCTACTTGCAAGCGCATCCACGTGAAAGTTTTTCCAAATACGAGCAGTCGATGGGTTTCATTTTTTGCTTCCATACACGAGCAAAATTTCTGTAAGTGAGCAGACGTCAAGGGAAGTTGCTTGACACTGGTGAGGGGCTTGCTCTTGACTAGGGAATTGTATCTCATTTGTTTGTCGGCCCTATCTATTGAAACTTGGGCAATGTATGATGGAAAGATGCTTCTTAACGTACACCAAAAATGAAAGAAATAGGAGCATAAATAATGGAGTTCACTTCTAAGCAATTAGCCGTCCCTTCGCGGTATTTTTGTATGGTTTTTATGGTTGTATTCTCGTTTTTTTGGTCTCATTGATAGAATGGAATATATATTACAGAAATAGATATGATTTTTAATGCTTTCACGATGAAAAGTACCTTGAAATTGAGCTGAACGAGGGAGAAATGCTCATTTGCTTGGCTATGTTCAAGAGTAAACAAATGATGTCGCTGTCTATTCCAAGAGATAAGATAAGATTTCGTTCAGATTTTTAACCCTGGAGGGTTAGCCACCCAGGATAACCCAAGAAAGTCAGTGCGTCATCGAGGACTGTCTAACTTATTTCCATTGGGGTCCTTAATCTTGTCCCCCAGGATGCGACCCACACCAGTCGACTAACACCCAGGTACCTATTTGCTGCTAGGTGAACAGGACAACAGGTGTAAGGAAAACGTGTCGAAATGTTTCCACCCACCGGGAATCGAACCCGGGCCCTCCGTGTGTGAAGTGGGAGCTTTAGCCACCAGACCACCGGGCCACCGGGCCACCAGACCACCGGACCACTATGCAGTCGTGAATGGGTTGACATTATTTATACAATTATTGCAATAAGGAATAACAGTAAACCCTATATTTTTTGTGTGAATAAAAATTTAAAAATTATTTATATTGAAATAATAATAGTTTATAATAATATCATATGTATAATAATAATAATGTACTACATAATAATTATAATAATAGCTTCAAAAGGCCATCACTAGATGGCAGTGTTTACCACAACAAAGAGGGAGCGGTTGTGGCCGCCTCCACCTGTTACATAATGACATATTTTATTCCTTCTAGAGTATATATCAGGTTTCTATGTTATTTATATTCTTTATTATTTCATATTAGATGAACTTTGATAGATAAATAAGCCGTAGAGTTGATAGCGAAATATTCAAGGAGTATTTTGTCGGGTCTCCAGACAAACTCTCGTTCACCGCCGACACCAGTACATGAGTTACATATTTTATTCATTTTAGAGTACAGTGGACCCCCGCATAGCGAACGCCTTGCATAGCGAACAATCCGCATAGCGGACGCTTTGTTCGCTAAAATTTTGCCCCGCATAGTGGACAAAAACCCGCTCAGCGGCCTTCGTCCGAGACGCGTCCAATGTGCGCCCTCAGCCAGCCTCACATGTGCCGCCCGTGCCATTTTTTTACCAGCCAGCCTCCGCGGTAACATTCAAGCATACACTCGGAATATTTCGTATTATTACAGTGTTTTCGGTGCTGTTTCTGGAAAATAAGTGACCAGGGCCCAAGAAAGCTTCTAGTCCCAAACCCCTACACCTCAAAGGGTAAGAATACCCATTGAAATGAAGAAAGAGATCATTGATAAGTATGAAAGTGGAGTACGTTCACCGACCTGGTCAGGTTGTACAAGAAACCAAAATCAACCATCTCTTCTATTGTGGGAAAGAAAACGGCAATCAAGGAAGCTGTTGTTGCCAAAGGTTTAACTGTGTTTTCGAAAAAAGATCGCAAGTGATGGAAGATGTTGAGAGACTCTTATTGGTGTGGATAAATGAAAAACAGCTAGCAGGAGATAGCGTCTCTCAAGCGATCATATTGAAAAAGGCTAGGAAGTTGCATGACGTTTTAATTAAAAAAATGCCTGCAACTAGTGATGATGTGAGTGAATTTAGGCCAAAAAGGGTTGGTTTGAGAGATTTAAGAAGCGTAGTGGCATCCAGTGTGATATGGCATGGTGAGGCTGCCAGTTCGGACCACAAAGCGGCTGAAAAATATGTGCATGAATTCAAGGATTAACATAGAAACTAAAGGGATTTGGAACCTGAACAAGTGTTTAAATTGTGATGAAACAGGCCTTTCTGGAAGAAACTCCCAAAGCGGGAAACCTACTTTACTCAGGAGGAAAAGGCACTCCAGGACATAAGCCTATGAAAGACAGGGCTTACTTTGTTGATGTGTGCCAATGCTAGTGGTGATTGCAAAGTTAAGCCTTTATTAGTGTATCACTCTGAAACTCCCAGAGCGTTAGGCAAAAGAATGTCCTCAAGGATAATTTGTGTGTGCTGTGGAGGGCAAACAGTAAGGCTGGGTCACTAGGGAAATTTTTTTATAACTGGTTACACCTGCAAATTTTCCCCCAATGTGAAAGATTACCTAACTGAAAAGAAATTAGACCTTTAAGTGCCTCCTGGTGTTGGACAATGCCCCTGGTCATCTACAGACCCTGGCAGAGCGACTTTATGGGGGGCATGAGCTTCATTAAGGTGAAGTTTTTGCCTCCCAATACCACTCCCTCCTGCAGCCATGGACCAGCAGGTCATTTCCAACTTCAAGAAACTGTACACAAAAGCTCTGTTTCAAAAGTGCTTTGAAGTGACCACAGACACTCGATTGACTCTAAAAGAGTTTTGGAAGGATCACTTTAATATCCTCAATTGTGGGAAACCTTATAGGTAAGGCTTGGGAGGGAGTGACTAAGAGAACCTTGAACTCTGCTTGGGAAAAAAACTGTGGCCAGAATGTGTAAAACAAAAGGGATTTTGAAGGGTTTGAGGCTAACCCCGAGAGGAGTTTGTATACCAGGGTTTAGGAATTTAATTGTGGAATTGGGGAAGTCCCTTTGGGGTTTGGAGGTTAGTGGGGAGGATGTGGAAGAGTTGGTGGAGGAGGGCAATGAAGAACCCAACCACTGATGAGCTGATAGATCAACTCAAGAGCAAGAGGCCAGACCTGGGGAAACTGGTTCAAAGGAGGGGAGAGAGAAATTGAAGGAATTGCCTACTTCAAAGATTAAGGAAATGTGTGCAAAATGGCTTGAAGTGCAAACCTTTTTGATGAAAAAACACCCTCACACAGCTATTGCAAGCCGTGCTGGTGACTGTTACAAAGACACTGTGGTGAACCACTTTTGACAAATCATAAAGGAACGAGAGGTTTCAGGCCACTATGGACAGATATGTTGTGCGAAAAAAGTCCAGTGACTCTGAAGCTGGTCCTAGTGGCATTAAAAGAAGAAGAGGAAGTAACCCAGAAAAAGGACTTGCTTTCCTCAAGTCCTAATGGAAGGGGGTTCCCCTTCTAAACACTAACACTCAATCATCACCATCACCATCACCATCACCAGATCTTCAATAAAAGTAAGTGTCATGTAATTGTGCATGCCTTTTTCAGTTTGTGTGTACTAAAATTAACATTTTTTTGTGGTAAAAAATTTTTTTTTCATACTTTTGGGTGTCTTGCACGGATTAATTTTATTTCCATTATTTCTTATGGGGAAAATTAATTCGCATAGCGAACATTTCGCATAACGGCCAGCCCTCTTGCACGGATTAAGTTCGCTATGCGGGGGTCCACTGTATATATCAGGTTTCTATGTTATTTATCGTCATATTAGATCAAGTGAGATAGATAAATAAGCTGCAAAGTTGATATTAGCGTAATTATTGAAGTACAGAATTCCACTGGAATGGATTAATTGCATTTCAATTAATTAAAATGAGAAAAATTGACTCTGCAAACAAGCAAATCCAGTTGCGAGCAAGGTCGTGGAACAGATTAAATTCGTAAGTAGAAGTTCCACTGTAATACAAGGACACAGAGGTAATAATAATAATGAGGTAATAATAATAATAAGGTAATAATAATAATGAGGTAATAATAATAATAAGAATAATCTTTATTTCTACAAGTATGTACATTATACAGCCTCTCCTGACTTAACAGTGGAATCCGTTAGTAAACAAATTTGTCGCCAAGTGAGGAGAATAGTACAGGTTGGCCATCACTAATCTGGCATCATTGGGACATGTAATGTGCCGGATTAGTGAGTTTGCCAGATTACAGAGTGGTTAGGTTAGAATACACTTAATTAACCTATCAATAGAGACACTTTCTGCTACATCTTCCTCATTTTCATCACTGCTTTTTTCTCCTCTGGCTTGCTGCTGTGGATTTACAACCATCTGCACAATTTCTGAGTCAGTATAATGATGGAATTGGAGTCAGTATAATGATTTGAGGCAGTACAATAATGAAATTTGAAATTATGCTAGCGAAAATTGGTGCCGGATTAGTGATGGTCAACTTGTACTATAATGGTAATGGGTTTGTGTTGACCATCTTTGATATTGTTTTAATGTCACTTTTGCACCATTTATAACATTTCTGGTATATTTTTAAATGTTTATGCAGTAATATACTGTATGAAACAGAATAGAGGAACTCAGGTCTAATATACATTATTTAGGTATGCATGTTGGTCAGAGAGCCTGTTGTAAGTCGATTCGTCAGTAAAGGTACGTTGCTAAGTGAGGATAGGATGTATAACTTATACAGACCATAGCTGACATACTATGTAGAAGCCCCTGGTTATGCAGCGCATTTCGAGCAACTTAGGATAATTTTTTCCCAGGATGCGACCACACACCAGTACCTACTTGCAGCTAGGTGAACACTGACAGCAGGTGCTTTAAGGAAATGCAACCAATGTTTCCACCCATACCGGGGATCAAACCACTGACCTCAATGTGTGAGCTACCAACTGCAGTAGACCTTCTGGCCTATGTGGAGCTGGATATGAGGTACTTTCTTTGCTTATTGACTGTTCCAAGTATTCTTACTGGATGTTGCTGTTATATTTAACAGCAAACAAGTGAACACAAATATTATTTTCAAAATATATTTACAGTAAATGTTAGAAAATTTGGTAACATTTATTTCTGAAGGAGGGATGGAGATATGTTGCAGTTTTTGAACTGTATTGTAGGCATCCTTGTGGCAAGACAGCGATGATGGAAATATTTTTCATTTTCAGGTTACCCTAAGCCACTGGTTCTGCAGAGCATTTTGGGCTGACTAAGACTAGAATTTGAAACTTCTTGACACGTCATAGTTGTAAGATAAGATAAGATAAGATTTCGTTCGGATTTTTAACCCCGGAGGGTTAGCCACCCAGGATAACCCAAGAAAGTCAGTGCGTCATCGAGGACTGTCTAACTTATTTCCATTGGGGTCCTTAATCTTGTCCCCCAGGATGCGACCCACACCAGTCGACTAACACCCAGGTACCTATTTGCTGCTAGGTGAACAGGACAATAGGTGTAAGGAAACGTGTCGGAATTTCCACCCCCCGGGAATCGAACCCGGGCCCTCCGTGTGTGAAGCGGGAGCTTTAGCCACCAGACCACCGGGCCACCAATAATGTATTGTTTACATTATTGTTCGAATGGTAAGTCTAATGTAATTAAATTTTCTGTAGATTATTAAAAATAATGATTATCTTAAGTAACAAAATTCTGTGTATTAAAGACATGGTAATATAATACTGTATGACAATTTTAGGTAATAATTATTGAGGGATAGAAATGTAATGGTGACAATAAGTGTACGAGTTATATTCACCTCTCATTGTCATAGTGTTGGAGTCTCAGTGCACTAAAAGTAATCCAGGTCTTTGATCCCTCAAGTTAGACCATCCTTTGCATTCAACTCCTGTATCTTTTGCTGGGTACCTGTGCATTGTGGTGGTTGAGGCACTCAACTTGCAGACTCCTCTGCAGTTCAGGACCTTTCAGTCTCCTGTGGAAGGTGGCCCATTTCCAGCACTGTCTAGGTACCCTCAAGATCACTGGCAACTTAGATCTGTTGCAGTGTCTCACCAAAGGTATGTCAAAGTTGCCTCACTGTTGTACAGGTGCCCGTTGACTTACATCGTGGTTCCATTCCGACGAACCCATTGTAAGTCGAAAATGTCATGCGTGGAATCTGAATATGCTAAATAATTAAGTAAATATGTATGTAAATGACTACTGTTACTGAATATGTAAATAAACAATTACTGTGACTAACTGTATATATACTAATATTCAAAAGTAAAAAAAAAATGTATACAAATTACAGACTTGCCACCATCATGCTGGGTAATTATCATAAATTTTATCTGCGAAGTAATTGCTTTTGCAACATCATAAAGTCAAACTGTTGCTAGTCGAGGATCACCTGTAATTACAAATGCCAGTACTGCGTTTTTTTTTTTTATTGAGTAACAGGTCTTAGAACCAAATTTTATTGAGGTTTCCAGTTTTTTATTTGAAGAAAATCGGATCCTGGGTCCTAATACACATGTTGACATTCCCTTCAAGGAGCTGCCTTGCTGATAGTGAAGGACCCTTGATCTGAGGAACTGGAGTTATCCTTCCGTTGGATCCCATCAGAATGTTTGCCATCCTGCTCCAACACCGTAGTTGTGTTGTCTTCGTCCTGCCCACGTACTGTTACTGGTATGTAGTCTTTTTTGTGGTTTGAGTTTTGGATACTGTCGATTATAGTGTATGGACTGATTTGTTGAACCTATATATTTCTGCTGTTTTGTAGATTTAAGCCGTTATTATAATCATGGGGAATGCTAAACCCATTGGGATTATACAGCACCTGTAGAGGGGGAAGGTATTCAGACACAATTCAGGGAACTGGAGCACAGATCCAATTCCCTAGATCAAGAGCCCTTCACCAGCATCAAGGAACCTCCCTTGAGGGGTAGATTTAGACCAAAACTTAGGTTTGGATTATTTTATAGAGCACAGGGAAAACATCTTGTAGGGCTTGCCCCATCAAAGGAGGTTTTTTGATACTGAGAAGAGATTGTTGATCTAAAGAATTGGACTTAACCTCCCATTCCTTGTACTAATGCTAATTATCTTCCTCATGAGTATAATGCAGTAACGTGTATACATTATTTTAAAAGTGAATATAGGAAAGAGTAAGGTGTTGAGGATAAAAAATTTAGATAACGAAAGATTGGAGAAGGTAAATGTATTTAGATATTTGGGAGTGATTGTGTCAACAGATGTGTCTATGAAAGATGAGGTGAATCATATAATTGATGAGGAAAAAAAGATGAGTGGTGCTCTGAGGAGTCTAGGGAGACAAAGAACATTGTCCATGGAAGCAAAGAGGGGAATGTATGAGAGTATAGTTATACCAACGCTTTTATATGGGTGCGAAATGTTGCAGTAAAAGAAGGCTGGAGGCAGTGAAGATGTCATGTGTGAGAGCAATGTGTGGTGTGAATATAATGGTGAAGATACATAGTTTGGAAATTAGGAGGAGTTGCGGGATTCCCAAAGGTATTGTCCAGATGATGAAACGATTCCTCTCACACTCCACAATTTCCTTGACTTAACTCCTTCCTTACTTAGGGGAAAAAGAGACAAATTATTCACCAGTGAAGGTCGTAATTAACCCTAACCTTCATTTACACAAGAATATCTGTAATGTTAAATTTATGCCATTACTCTGGCACAACAGTCTCGGAACTACCATCCATTGCTCTAATGAGTTTTTACATAACCAGGCACATGTATTTGTGTTGAAATGAATTTCTAAGTTCACCATTATCAAGAGTGAGTGAGGAGAACCTTGAATACAAGATTATCTTTCTGGCCAGGTACATCTTGACTGCAGGAATAAAATAATGCCTGAAATTAATCAACAAACAGGGTTTGTCTTGATGTTTTACAGCACTGTACATTACCATTGCCTTGCAATTGAACGGTTGCATTTGTTCAGAGAAACAAGGTAATGTTTACTTTGCAACACGCTGCACTTTTTACTTGCTAGTTAATGTGGGTTCTTGATGGCATTCACCTTCAAGGTTGTCCTATCTTGTTAACGTTAAACACTCAGAAAGGTACACAATACCAACAAGATGAAAGTTAAGACACATGTGCAACATCTTTATTTAGACATTTCTCCATTAAGGTGGCTTTATCAGTACAGATTCTAGGACATAACTAGTTATGTCCTAGAATCTGTATTGATAAAGCCACATCTACAATAAAGACACCCAGATGTCGCACGTGTCTTAACTTTCATTGAATACTCAGTTTAGACTGTAACTGTTCTCAGAAATAATTTGCTTAGAGTATGCAGGGAAATTTTGCATTGGATTGTGATCAGCTGCTGTACTCTTGACTCCACATCTTGTGTTATGAAACTGATTGTCCTTTCAAACAGTCACACAAACATACTGTTGTCAACACTGTCCTTAAGCAATGTTTTGCAGTATTGTGTCTTACTTTCTGAGCATTAAGTAGGGACACTTTTCTTGTGTTCTGTCTAATTGTATGTATGGTGAATTATCTCAGACAAAACATACAAGCATTATACATATTTAAAGTGTCCATCTTCAGTACCCTTGGAGCTGATTATTATATTCTGCTTGATAACTCTAGCATCACTGATATTTCTCTCGGGTGCCATGTTGAATATCCAGAATAGAGATGATGTGAGAAAAAAGATCCAAAATGCTTTGATGACACTGAGAAAAGAACAAAACAATCCCAACTTGTGTTGAAGGGAAGGAAATCAACTATGCAAACTTAAGTGATTTTTACATATAAACTTGAGTATTCGGTGCCAACAAAGTTTTTTCGAATGATAATCAAGAAAAGAATTCGGTTAATCAGTACTACAAGTTTGAGTCCATATTATCTCAGTGCTAACTAACTCTTTCTGTAGTTGACGTCTTGATCAAACTCTAATAATATTACCTTGAATTTGGAAACTACATGAACCTTCTGTACTCCACCTCTTGTTTGAGCTCTAATAATCTTGCCTGTAAATTCTAACCCATGTTACATTTAATTTTAAGCCTAGAGGTCTCCCTCACTAGTATAGAATTTAATTCAGAATAGACTTATTGGATTTGCCACACTCAAATTGCTTTCTTTTATATGAATATAAACCCACAGAATGATTTTTGAAGAGGTATCCCTCAGATGGTACCTCACCACCACAATGATGCACACTTAACACCAACCATCCGATGGTACCTCACCACCAGCCATCCGATGGTACCTCACCACCACAATGATGCACACTTAACACCAACCAATCGATGGGCCACAGGAGTTAAAAGTGCACAGGAACCACTCATTCTGATGACTTTAGTAGTTTACTGGTAAGTTTCCACTGTTGCGAATAAGAAATTTTTTAAAGAACTTCAGAATGTGGCCTGTTACCATTTATTTCTTATGCAACAAGATTTTTGGATCCGAGTTATTTAAAGGTATTTTAGAGTCTAGGGGAAATAATTTCAACTGGGAAACTCCATAGAATAATATTGAAATTTATTAAAGTATAATACTTTATCTTCTCTTTGTAGTTAATGTAAGTTAATACTTTGTACAATAAATTTACCATATACATTTAGTTCAAAATCATGGAAATGTCACATTAATAAGGAAGTTTAATTATTCTTCCTGTAATTCAGTCTTCATTAACATTTACGTCTTTGTCTTAACAAGACTGTAAACTCAAAATACAAAAGGTACAAGATTTAACAAGACCTTTGAATCTGGCCGTAAAGTATCTCTATGGATTACTGAACTGACCAAGAATATAAATATCAAAAGAGTCTTTCAAAGTAATGAGGAACAAAGTGAGTCAGCTCTAGAGTCCAATTCTCAAAACCGTTCAAACTGTACACATAAGAGCCAATATACGATCAGTTGTCAGGGCTAGAGCTGGGAGCAGACTGACTACTTGCCAGTCTGTTGACGCGTCGTCAGGTTGGATCAGCTGACACAAACGTCAGTCAGCCGGACATAAACAATTGAACAATTCACCGGATGGTTCCGAGATTTAAACTCTATATACACAAGAAATCCTACCTAACAACAATAATAATGATAATAATAACAAAATAGTGATAATACCATGGTATTTTTCATATATTAACAGATAATAATATAACGCCGAAAGTCTCTATTTTAGCTATAAACGGGGACTCTCGCGCTATAATATTAAGTGATGAACATATTCTCTTACAATAGTTAAATAACACAGGATGACCAATTTCGAAGATATAACACCACAGTGAATGGGAAACTTTGTATTTGAATCAGAACTGCCATTAGTTCTGAGCCTGTTGGCACATTTGACCTATTACTGGGTGGTATCTGGTTTTGTACAAAAATGATAGTGTTTAAAAGGAAATATGGTATCATTGAAAAATAAAGACTACACTGCAGATATACACCTGAATTAGAATTAGTATTTCCTTGCAAATTTATAATGTGGCTGACATTTGTAAGAAGTTTATGCCTAATTTGGTGAACTGAGAAAAAGTGGGATTGAAATGTACATGTAAGTGTCCTATTGTTTACATAAGTAGCAGTTTGTTAATGGCCAGAGTCACTTATTAGTCTTGCACTATTTTTACCAGTGTACTTTACAGAAAAATTCAAACTATTGTACAGTGGACCCCCGATTAACGATATTTTTTCATTCCAGAATTATGTTCAGGTGCCAGTACTGACCGAATTTGTTCCCATAAGGAATATTGTGAAGTAGATTAGTCCATTTCAGACCCCCAAACATACACGTACAAACGCACTTACATAATTGGTCGCATTGGGAGGTGATCGTTAAGCGGGAGTCCACTGTATAGAGAAATATCATAGTCAGTGATTAGTAGAATTTATTTATAGATGTATATGTTTATTGCAGGACTGGATTGATATGTAGTGAGGTCCAAGGATGTGATAACTGCATAAAGGCGGTGTGTGGTCAAGAAAGAAAAATCCCGAAGGTTGCTTGATGTAAGGTATTGCTCAAGCTGTGTCACCTCCAGTCCTTGGCGTCATTATATTCGTTGTGCCTGCTATAATTTTGTATTTCTCTTCCTATCTATCTTAGCATATTTTACTTTCTGGGACCCTATGGAGGTGATGAGGGGCTCTTGATCCAAGGGATTGTCCTATCCTCCCTTTCTTTGAATTGAATTTTATTTCCCTAAATGTAATTAAATAAATAACAAGGCACAATACTGTGACTTACTATAGGTGTGCGGCCGTCTCTCTGACTCCATTGTGTAGATTACATCTTTGCTCTCATGGCTGTAGTAGTCTCTTTCACCATTTCTCAATGTCCTTAACCCTTAAACTGTCCAAACATAGATCTGCGTTCACATGTGTAGTGCTCCAAACGTAGATCTATGTTTTTTTTTTTTTTTTGTTTGAAAGCATGTAAAACGTAGATCTACATTTGGACAGTTTAAGGGTTAATTTTTGCTTCCATTAAGTTTAAAGCTGAATGGGAATCTAATTCTTTGCTTCCTTTCATTGATGTACATGCCCTCTGCTGAAAGACATACAAGTTTTGCTCTTTCCGTGTACGACAAGTCTAAGCACAGTGGCATGTACATTCACTACTCTTCTTATCATGTTGAGAAAAGTGTTTTTCCATGCTGTCCACATTTGTGACCCTCAGTTCCTTGAATCAGAAATTTCCACTTCATAATTCATTCTGTCATCTTGGCTATCCTTCCCATGTGCTTTCTTCTCTCTCTGTTCCTCAGACATCAAACTTACTTTTAGTGCCTTTCCTACTCCTGATTCAGTACCTTGGAGAAACTGGCCATTCTCTTTCTGACTCAGAGAGCACAAAAGTAGTGTTAGGCTTGCTGACACCAACAAATCTCTTTTATGTCATGTCAGAGACCACAGTCACTGTGTGGTTTAATGCTCCCTTATACAGAACTTTCCTCATAGATGCCTTCCTTTCCCATTACATTGTAAAATGTTGCAAATTTCGTAACTGATGTGTTCAGTCAATCATAGGGCCAGAGAGGTGGCTTATATACTGCAGTCAGGTGAGTCGAAGCTGGACCATCCCCTAGTTTAAGTAGGTTAATTCTTCGTATAAAGATCCCATGATGTTGCAGTGTCTGACAGATGTTATGAATGGTTGGTTTTCTAAACCATTCATCATATGTTTTAGACAACGCAACATCATGGGATCTTGATACAAAGAATTCTTAATTACACTAGTGGATGGTCCACCTTTGACTCACCTGAGTGCAGTATATAAGCCACCTCTCTGGCCCTGAACACATTGATTCCAGGCTGAGGGACTGATTACCTCAAACTACTCCTCTCCTTATACCTTCCTGCTTTGTATTGGACTGGTGAAACCACTGTGTGGGAAAACATTTCCTCAATAAAGATTCCCATATGTTGTACAAGTGTCTCAATTCTTCAGGTTCTATGCGAGGCAATAAATATTTGATTCAAGAAAAAAGATTAGTGCTCTGATCACTTGCATCAAGGTACCTCTCTTGATCAGAGAGACTGGTAATGGCACTTGGGTTTTATCCAAGTAAAGGGAGATGACCATCCTCCCATTTACATAGAAATCTTTTTAAAGGGAAAGAAGATTCTAGTGTCTTCTCTATTAGAAGGGAGGAGCACAAAACCCAGAGCCTTAGTAGGAATGGGAGTCAACATTCATATTGAATCCAAAGAAAGACACTTGTCTCTACTCATCAATTCGAGTGCTAAACCCATAGGTGGGTATACCATTTATTATATGAATCCATCAGACAATCTAAGGAATGGGTAGATAATTTAAAGCCTTGGAATTATTAAAATACTTATGTTCTATCAAATTTTTTTTTATACTAATGTATTTAACTTTAATGAGTCAAAGAAATTCATTTTTCTTGATCATAATAGAATTTTGATCTAAATTAATTTTATCTAGATCTTCATTATCCCAAATTTAAACGTTTCATCATAGGTAGTGAAAAAAATATAAATAATAAATTATATACCATTTATTATTTATAAGAAAATTATAAATTTGTAGCCAACAATTGACTGCCCTTCCAGACATCTTGAAAACATTGTTCCTGTCATAGACACACACCGCTGCTGTTGCCGTCACTGGAAGACGCACACCGCCGCCTGTGAACATTAAGAAGAAATGTTAACATGGTAGAAAATTACTATTAACTTTTATAACATCCTGTCTGCCACCATTAGGGACTTCATTACCAAGCCTAACCTAATTTACACACAATAACTATCTCTTTCTCAGCACCTGATTAGTTCTTATACTAAACATCTATTATATTGTCAGCAATGCACCTCTTCCTTTTACATTCATCTATTATAACTCTTCCTTCCATATGTACAAATAATTTCATTAATCCCTCTAGTTATATAAATATATCATATACAGGTCTCCCTCAACATTCGCGAGGGTTAGGGGATCAAGAGCCTCGTGAATGTTTGGTGCCCCAATATATTATAGGGAAATATATTACAATACTGCTTCCTTAACTTGTTGAACCATGAATAATCATAAAATACATGAAAACGTCATAAATTGTACTAAATATATACATGTTATGCTTTAATAATGTATGTTATTTAATAACATGTATTTTATTAAATACCACAGACTCCACCACTGCCTCCGAGTCCCTACTACCCTCCCTCCGACCCCCACAACTGGCAGCCAGCCCTCCCACCACTCAGTGTGGCGAGTGTTTTGTTTGTTCATTATTTGCTATTAAACTACAGAATAAATAATGTAAACCCATTCATGACTGCGTATTGGAATGGCTATTAGGAAAGGTATTAGACGGTGACATCATGTGTTTACTCTTGAACACTGCAAAGAATCGAACATTTCTGCTATTGCTAATAATAACAATAACAATAATAAATACGATATAATTGAAGAAGGAAATTGTACAAAAATACGAAGGAGTGGTTGACACATCGTCAGTGTGACTTTGTTTATGCTGGAGTGAACATTAGTCTCCCTGCTCTTCCAAACATTTCACAATAATTCAGCGGTTGAGGCAGTGGTATTTAATAACATATATGTTATAAATAATAATAGTACATATTATTATTAACACGTATGTTATTAAATACCATTGCCTCAATCACTGCCTCTACCACTCCAGTCACACTCAATCTACAAGCACCAAACACAATGAATTATTGTGAAATGTTTGGAAGAGCAGGGAGACTAATGTTCCACTCCAGCATAAACAAAGTCACACTGACGATGTGTCAACCACTCCCTCATATTTTTGTACAATTTCCTTCTTCAATTATATCATATTTATTATTATTACTATTGTTATTATTAGCTGTAGCAGAAATGTTTAATTCTTTGCAGTGTTCAAGAGTAAACACATGATGTCACCGTCTAATACCTGTCCGAATAGCCATTCCAATACGCAGTCATGAATGGGTTTACATTATTTATACTGTAGTTTAATAGCAAATAATGAGCAAACAAAACACTCACCACACAGTGGTGGGAGGGCTGGCTGCCAGTTGTGGGGGTCGGAGGGAGGGTAGTAGGGACTCACAGGTGGCAGGAAACTTAAATATGATTTGGCGGCTGGGAATTCGCGAATGTGTGAAGCCCGTGAAAGTTGAGGGAGACCTATATGTTTATATTATATACCAATCTGTTTCCCTACTAATTCTCTGTACAATATTACAATCACAGCTAAGCACTAAACCAACACCTCTTAGTAAAACACTAGGCCAAGCAGTATAAACTGTACAAATCTAGTCATGGAAAGACAATTGTATTTATTTCTAATCAGAACAATGCGCTAAACCCACCAGGGTCATACATCTATTTTTTTTTTTTTTTTCAACAAGTCGGCCGTCTCCCACCGAGGCAGGGTGACTATTATTACCAGCACAATATTCATTTAGAAAATATCTGCCCGTTATAGCTCCTTTCCATATATGCAAATTTCTTGTTCTTATGTACAGTGGTACCTCGAATTTTGAACATCTCCCAACTCTAACAATTATGGAAGAGTATTTTTTGGGGGTCTGAAAAGGACTAATCTAATTTACATTATTCCTTATGGGAGCAAATTTGTTCAGTAACAAATTAAGGCACCACTGTATATATATATATATATATATCAGCAATCCAATTTTCAATAATTATATCAAATACATATAACATACTTATATTCTATAACTAAGCACTAAACCCACGTGGCTCGTTCAGCTCCTCCTAAAATACATTTTTTATCCAAAGCAATATAAAGAGAGACATCTATTTACTTAAACTACTGCATATGTAACACATCGAAGTTTACTGTCATGGGGCCAACAGTTAACCTTTTGAGTGTATATATATGCCTTACAAGCCACCTTTTTTGAACCTATATATACTCGTAAATTCTAGCGGCTTCAAATCAAGCAGGAGAAAGATGGTGGCCCAGATGTGAGAGAATGGGTCTGTGTGCACCATATAAAGAAAATACCCGCAGCACGCAGTGCATAATGAGAAAAAAAACTCCAAACCGTTTTTTTTAATTAAAATGCCAACTTTGTGGTCTATTTTCGTATAGTATTTATAGTTGTATTCTCGTTTTCTTGGTCTCATTTGATAGAATGGAAAACATATTATAGAAATAGAGGTTATTTTGATTGGTTTTACTATGAAAAGAACCTTGAAATGGAGCTCAAAGTAGGGGAAATGTTTGATTTTTGCCGATGTTCAAAAGTAAACAAATGTCATTTTCCCATAAATGTCCAACTAGCCATTCTAATATGCAGTCATGAATGGGTTGATGTTATTTATACAATTATTACAAAAAAAAAAAAAAAAAAAAAAAAAAAAAAAAAAAAAAAAAAAAAAAAAAAAAAAAAAATTACAATATTGTAGTAGTCTGCATAACAATAAATCTTCTATTTTTGGTTTGAATAAAAATTCAAAATAGAAAGCAAGAGTAATATCAGAGGGGCCTGGAGACATGACTAATGAACAAAGAAAATGTTATTTTGAAATTGTCATATTTAATTTTTTGTGAAATTGGCCAAATTGCAAATTTCTGACCATATTATTGGGTAGTTGAAATCGGTAAATGGGCAGTTTCTTGTACTCAGTCGATAGAAAAAATGGAGTTCTAAAGAAATAGCTATGAGTTTGGTCGACTGGAACAATGGAATTATTCAAAAATAGGGCTCAAAGTGGCCAAAATCTCTGATTCGTAAATATCGCCGAGGTTGCTAACTTAAAGAGAGCGTATTCCGTCAGTTTTCCATCAAATTTCGTTCTTTTGGTGTCATTACATCTGGGAAAAGATACTCTATCATTTCATGAGAATTGGGGGGGGATGGGGGGATTTTGCGACACCAGGAGACGCCTCAGGATTTGGGGTTGCAAACAGTCAAGGGGTTAATATCAAGTGGCATTTCATTTAGTGTTCCAAGAATAAGATTACAAAGTCCTGAGGGCAGATTTACCAGGTAACAACAGTACGGCTAGCCTTCCACTTTCATGAGCTTCGAACATTCACGAATGCCCAATCACATACAATATTTTACGATGTTTTCATGTGTTTTATGATTGATTGTGGTTCAATAGGTTAAGGAAGCAGTATTGTTATGCTAAGTAAACACTATTATTATATTTCCCTACAATATATTTCTGCATCAAAACATTCGTGAACGCTACAGTACAGCATTATTATATTTCCCTACATCATATTTGCGGATTTGCAAGGTTCTTGATCCCCTAACCCTCATGAATGTGGAGGGCCTCCTGTATATTTAATCATAACACTTTTACCACTCATCAAGTTGAGTATTTCCAAGCACAGAATTACCAAGTGTCAAGTGAATATTTACCAACGCTGTTTTAAACCAAAAACATGATTAGAGTATTTTTTTTTTCTCATTATGCCCTGTGTGCTGCAGGATTTTTTTTATACTGCGCACACTGACCTATTCTTTCATATGTAGGACTACCAGCTTTCTCGCACTAGAATTTATGCATACTAGTACAGCACCAACCCTGGAGTGCAAGCCTTACTAGTACGGCACCAACCCTGGAGTGCAAGCCTTACTAGTACGGCACCAACCCTGGAGTGCAAGCCTTACTAGTACGGCACCAACCCTGGAGTGCAAGCCTTACTTGTACGGCACCAACCCTGGAGTGCAAGCCTTACTAGTACAGCACCAACCCTGGAGTGCAAGCCTTACTAGTACAGCACCAACCCTGGCATGCAAGCCTTACTAGTACGGCACCAACCCTGGAGTGCAAGCCTTACTAGCATGGCACCAACCCTGGCGTGCAAGCCTTACTAGTACAGCACCAACCCTGGAGTGCAAGCCTTACTAGTACGGCACCAACCCTGGAGTGCAAGCCTTACTAGCATGGCACCAACCCTGGCATGCAAGCCTTACTAGTACAGCACCAACCCTGGCATGCAAGCCTTACTAGTACGGCACCAACCCTGGAGTGCAAGCCTTACTAGCATGGCAAC